CAGAATGTCTTACCCACAAGGTTTGGAAGCTGAGTTGTTATGTGCTACTGTGATTTCCATCCCAAAATACAGTCGTCACCTTTACTCTGCTCTGAAACCGCAGCATAACAAAACAGGTATATCTGTTGTCCGGCAGCTCGTTAAAAGATGGCAAGGTACAAACAAGATCTGCCCACCGAAATGGAGAAACCATGTTAGAAACGTGCTTGACAGCCACGCTTGTATCAAGAGTGGCGTGAATCACAGCTATAGCACCACACTGCTCGCGGAGACTACCGCTGAGAAAGGCGCGAGAATCATCCTCTGCAACGTCAGGATTGTGGTCTGTCATCACCAGCATGAACATTGTTATCATCACCATTGTGCTTGTCAAGTAGGCTATGTCTCTTCTTTTGTCTATGATGTGTTACCCGGTTTGAGGCTCCATCGCCCCTTGCCAGCTTTGCTTCAATGGCAGCTCAACTTCAAAATCTCAGTTGGTGGTTCGTGCATCCATCAAGCCTCAGCCTAAGTGAAAGATTTTCAGTCAGAACCTAGCATATAACATATCCGTGCAGAATACCAGGATCCTTCAAGTGCAGACCTTGGCCTCTCAACCAAAGCAGAAATCCCGCCCCCCGCAGCTTTCCTAGGCCTAACAGGGCAAGGTCATAGATCCGGCCTCTGCGTGTCAGGTTAGCACAGTACTATCTCAAAGGCCTGAAAACTATAAGCTCGTCTCTACCCTAACCCCTGAAACACGAGCGACTTAAACATTGCAGACACAGTGAGCAACCAACAGCTGCGAAGCTCAATCTAGAGTCCTTAGGATCCAATTCAGAACTCTCAGGCTGCACCCCCTGTGTGAGCCTTTTTCAAAAGGTTCTTGAGGTATGAACTGTCGTGGACCCAGACCCTGTGAAAATTGTCGCAAAAAAGCAGGATGTGGTCATAGCGAGCCGAGTAACAGCGTCTCGAAAGTGGCCTTCCGTGTGAGGACATGCATGAGTCAGTTAGATTCACGTAACGTCCGGATAACTTCACAACTCCAGTCCAAGGCCTCCTAAGAGTCCCCTAATGCCAGTGTAGCTATACATTTGTCATACTCCGTGTTGGCAGGGGAGGCGTACCACCAAATATTTTTTATGATTTTAATATACATGGCAGGTTCAAGAATATTTCAGTTCCTTCCCGCATTTAGGGCTTTGGGTCCCAATGTCGCTGCGCTTAAAAGATCATAGCTCCTGCTACTGCAACTTTTGAGATGAACGAGAGTTAGCAGCGCCCGGAGCTCAGTTACCAGGGACTTACTACATGTGCCTAAAATGGGCATCGGCTCACATTTGCTGTGACACTGCACGTATGACTCGCCAATATGCTGCATAGCGTGCCTTGTGCGCAGGTTCATGCTCATATATGGAGGTTGTCTTTCCTCATATCAATCTTGTTGTTCAGCAGGATGTCGGTAGTTCTTATCATCATCATTACCACCATCATCAGCAGCATCATCATCTTCATCATCATTGTTCTGGCGAATGTGACATTTAGTACAGAACAGTCGCAGTAATTCGATTGAAATAAGGACGCTAAGCGGATTTGATGATCGCAGAGCTGAAGCTCCTGCAAGCCACGCAAGACCATGCTTAACCCTACTTGCCCTTGACTCCACCCTCCCACCTCCTCGTACGCTCCATTCCAAGCATAAGGGCGTACAGTCAACATGGAAACAGCATGCCGCTTAAATGCCCCGCTGATCTGACGCCAGCACTGCGCAAGCACTGCTCGGATATTTTTTCGCAGGCTCAGGTGGCTCTCATGTACACGGGCATTTCCAGAAATGGGAGTCTCCTAAACAAGTACCAAATTTACTAAGCCTCCGATAGAGGCCTCCCAAAATGGCTCCCCTAATTTCTGAAAACCCCAGAAACACTTGGATGCTCTTCCTCAGAGTGTCATACTGACTCATACTGTAGCGCCACCATCGCCTGCCGAGCAGCAAAGCCAAAAGCCTTGTAGTCTTTGGAGTAGAACCTGGGTGTCCAGTATCTCGCGCTAGGCTAGCATTAACATTAACACAGTTGTTCATGTCCCAAAAAAGTTAAAGGTTACCTGCTGGACAGGTAGGAGAACGAGGCCACCATGCGGACTGTTGCACTTGTTGGCGTCACGTTGCAATGGTGGCCGCGATGCGCGTTCTGCTGCGTCAGGTTCACCTTGCCAAGACCATACTTCCCCATAAGAGCAGGGAACTCTGAGCTCATGCTTTCGTATTTCAAAATGTGGTGACATATCCTTGGGGCAGTTGGCTCACCATCTTGGTAAACGTAATAGACCTGGGGGATGAGATGGCAGTCTATCTTGAGGTCCACTGCGTTGAGCGCTTTCTGAGTGAGCTGCTCGAGCTTCTGCGGATCGCACACGTCTTTCATGGGGTGCATCGTTCGCAGTTGGCTGAGATAACGATGCATAGGATCTCGAACCACGCAGAAAGAATCACAATCCTTTGTGTAAGAAGCAGCCACTGTGGGGTCGAACGCTGGTGGAAAATGCCATGGGCTGCAGCTGGTCTTGCCAGCGAGTTGGCGGATACTCTCCGGTATGCTGCGAGGCGCATTGGGTGCGACCGTGCAACCAGGCCAGGCATGCTGCCCCTCTTGCCATGGCCAATGCGTAGATCTGGAACATCGGATCTTGTCATCGCAAACACCCCACAGCCGCTCTTTGATGTTGCTGCTGCGGGCGCGAAAGGCACAGCTCGGACTCTCTGCTGATGCCTTGAACTTGTATGCTTTTATCAACGAGCTCTCAATGGAGCCGCCCATGTTTTTGGGAATGTGTATGAATGACAGGCATGACTTCAAGGAAGAAGCTCTGCTCATCTGATGCAGGCTTTCGCCGCGCGAATTGTTGCCCCTCGTCTGGAGGAGTGCAGCGTTGTCGCTTGGCGATGTGCAAGCTGCATCGGCATTCTTACACACTGCGCTGGTAGGAATTAGAAGAATGAGGAAAAAGAGCTTCCTTGCAAAGCCAGCCATTGCATTCATTCGCGCTTTGGCGACATTGACTTCTGGACCCTGAGCCACAGATGTGTACAACAGCTTGCGTAACCCCAGTCAGCAAAGACGATTCAGAGCATCAAATTCCATTATGGCGTCGAGTTCGAACCGTCTACTTTGATACCAAGAGTTAACATTGCATCCTGAATAATCTGTACATATGAAGAGCAAGTGCAACATGCACGTCACCCACGGGAAGTGCCAAGTGTACTCGTGATGCTATTCAAAACCGCAATGGTGGCATGGTTAGCTCCGGCTGCATATCCGTACTTGGCTGTATATCGTACTTGCGTATCTGTTTTGCTTCATCAAGTTGCAATCTCGAGGTCCCGTCAGAAACACAAGCCTTACACAATCACCAGTAGTTAGCCTACGTGTACGCGTAAGATGCCCTCCCAAGCGGCCAGGCAATCTTTTGCCAAGGACTGCCAAAGTTGAAAGCCGTTTAAACCGTCTGTGCTGGAAAGAGCTACCAGAGTTGGCTAAAGCTCAGCCAGACAATACCTTCTACCTGAGAACCAACTTCACAAAGCTAGTTGCAGATCACAAAGGATCAGAAAAATCTTAATGATAATCGCGGGCAGTGCAAGCACACAGGCCATGATCGCCGGCTTTGCCCAGGTCAAGGGAGGGCGAAATAAGCAGCCTCAGAAAAAATACTGTGTCCCAACAAGGCACTCTGTCTCAACCCATGGCCGGCCTCAGCTGATAGCACCGATTGCTTCGTCGCTGAGGCCCTGCTCCGGAACTCTTAAGATGAAGAGCATGGAACGCAAGCTGCAAGTTTTGGGAATAGCAGGCATCATAGGCCATAGGTGCAAGGAAAGCTGATAATGCACTGAAATCTACCAGTAGGGTTGTAAGGGGCATGTTCTGATGTGTTCCTGTTGCGGAGGGTGTCGGCGGTGCGGGCGTTACCCTATCAGAGCTGAGGGTTTTTTGAGGCTGATGATGTCGGTTAATTTCTGCTCCACTGTAAATTCCTTGAAGATGCCCGGCCCCAGAGCTCTGGTACAGGACCAGCGAACGAGGCGTCCAGAGCACCGACCAAAACGCCGACCAGAGCACCCTACCCCACCACCGGCGCCGCCACCGCCACCACGACCACCACCAGGACCACCACGACCACCTCCACGAACACCACCACGACCGTCACCACCGCCACCACCGCCAGCAGCACCAACAGCACCAGCACCAGCACCAGCACCAGCAGCAGCAGCAGCAGCAGCAGCAGCAGCAGCGGCAGCGGCAGCGGCACCGGCACCGGCACCGGCACCGCCGCCGCCGCC